CACTAGCATAGCATCATCCTATATACCAGGATACCGACCTTAGCCAGGTCTCTAACATATACCATCCTAACTACCAGGATGCAAACATAGTAAAGCAACAACACAACAACAATACCCGAATTACAATCCGATAAAGGGTCGGACTTGGTGCCTTAGACCTTGTTGATATAGTGAGGATAACTCACCTCGCAACTGCTGACTGAAAAGATAAGACCGAGATGCTCCGACCACTGACACGATCTCCACCACTGGCCAACACCAATACTGAACTCAAAACAAAAGCCAACAATTACCAAAATGCCCCTGGAAGTCAACTGGTCAACCCTTGGTCAAAGTCAAAGTCAAAGTCAACCTCCTGACTGACTCTACTTGCCGAGTCAACCTAATGACTCGTCGAGTCCCCATGCTCAAAACTTCCCCAATTCGCGACTCAACTCGTCGAGTCACCCCGAGACTCGCCGAGTCTCACAACTCTGAGTCCCCTCGCACTCAACTCACCGAGTCCTCCCTTGACTCGTCGATTCATGGCTCAACCAGAAGAAGATTAGGACCTCAAGACTAGAATCGCCGAGTCCAAGAACAGACTTGCCGAGTCCGAGGCTATCTTCAACCTACTCGCCGAGTTGTTCTTCCAACTCGCCGAGTTCCAGTCCATCTTCAAGCAACTCGCCGAGTACACCTTTGTGACTCGCCGAGTGCCTTTAGATCTTAACCCATGCAGAAGCTTTCCAGGCCATGCAGATGATCCAAAACATAGATCTATCCATATACAACCCATCCATCATGTAAAGTGGCAAACTTTACGTGAATTCAAAGAGATCTAGGCATTTTACACTCTAGGGCTAGGGTTTGGGACAAGATAACTTCACCAAACACTCAAGAACAGGGACTTTAATTCACTCTAGACCTTTTCCATTCCAGATCTGAGGTAGCAACCTCAGATCTAACCTTCAAACCCGAAATACCACAAGCTAAACTTTCCACCCATTCCAAAATGATGAACCTAGATGAATAACAACCCAAGAAACGAAGTGATACCTCAAAAGGAAGTCCCAACAGAAGAGAAATCTGAATCTTAGCAAAGCCCCTTGCTCCAAGCCTCCTATCTCTCCAAGATCTCCTCCAAAAATCTCTTCTCCAAGGTTCAAATGCACTTAAATCCCTCACAATCGTGTCTTAGGGTTTTCTGGACTTCAAGAGAGGGTAAAGAGGCTGGGGAGAGGGTATAATGTCCTTTATATAGGGATCATCCTCCGAAATTAGGTTTTTCTCCACTCAGCGCCTACTCGCCGAGTCCAGCCTCCGACTTGCCGAGTTGGCCACTTAACACGCGACCAGAGTCGCGACCCTACTCGCCGAGTTCACCCATGGACTCGCCGAGTTGCCCTTTCATATTTACACTTTGAACCCTGAACTTGCACTCCTGAACTCGGGATGTTACATGATCCGTGTAGATAGTATAGTGGACCCCATAAAGGTAATGCTTACAAATCTTGAGGGCGAAAACTACCGCCCCCAACTCAAGATCATGCGTGGGGTATGTCGTGTCATGCAGCTTCATCTTCCATAAATCATAAGCTATCACTCATCCTCTCTGCATGAGGACTGCTCCTAAGCCAGTGATGGATGCATCACATAAAGCCACAAAATCCTTAATTCCCTCCGGGAGGGTCAAAACTGGGGCTTCGCAAAGTCTCTGTCGAAGGGTCTCAAATGCGATCTGCTGTCGAAGGGTCTCAAATGCGGTCTGCTGCTTAGGGCCCCACCAGAAATCCACCCCCTTCCTCGTTATACGAATGAGGGATACTATAAACCTGGAGAAATCCTGAATGAATCTCCAGTAGTACCCTGCCAAACCCAAGAAACTCCTGATATTCAAGGGAGATTTTGGAATCTCCCACTGCATCACCACCTCAATCTTGGTCGGATCGATAAAAATCCCATCCTGGTTAATGAGGTGTCCAATGAACTGAACCTCTCGCAACCAAAACTCGCATTTCGAGAACTTAGCATAATGTCGTTCTCGCCTCAAAACCCCCAGAAGCTCGCAAATATGCTCCTCATGCTGCTCTCTGGTCTTGGAATACACCAATATATCATCAATAAACACGATAACCAAACGATCGAGCATCAGCCTGCATACCCGATTCATCAAATCCATGAATACCGTAGGCGTGTTGGTGAGCCCGAAAGGCATCACCACGAACTTGTAATGCCCATAACGAGTCCAAAACGCGGTCTGATCCACGTCCTCCTCCCTCACCCTAACTTGATGATACCCAAACCTCAGATTTATCTTGGAGAACCAATATGCTACCTGTAGCTGATCAAAGAGATCATCAATCCGTAGAAGGGGATAATGGTTCTTCACCGTTAACTTGTTCAACTCCCGGTAATTGATGCACATCTGGTATGAACCATCCTTCTTCTTGACGAATAAAATCATTGCTCCCCACACAGAACTACTCGGATGGATGAACTGCTTGCCTAGCAGCTCTTGTAGTTGAGATGACGACTCCTGCATCTCAGGAGGCGCGCCGGGTAACTCCTTCCGGAATACATCAACGAACTCCCTGACAACCGGAAAATAAACAACGGACACCGGATCACCCGCGTATCCACCACATAAGCCAAATAACCTGCACACATGTGCTGAATATACCGTTGAACCCTGGCTGCCGAACAAAACCCTGAACCCATCCTGGTGCCCTCTCCATAAATAACCAGTTCTCCCCACTTGGTGTTCAAACTACCACGCCCTGACCCTCGCAGTCGATCATGGCATTGAAACGGCTCAACCAATCCATACCCACAATCACACAGACATCGCCCGTGGGAATATGTCACACAGACATCCCCCATATGGTATGATTCAGGTTAAGCACGTCAAATTATAAGTCAGTGAATTGTGTGTTGGATAAAAAATAAAGATATTTCATTTAATTATGTGTCGACTATATATATATATATATATATATATATATATATATATATATATATATATATATATATATATATATATATATTAATATTTCTATTATTTATACCGATTTTTTTATCATTTTTTTTAAAAAATTTTTAATTACGTTATTTTTGTTAGATATAAAATTTTAAATAGTTTTTTCTATATGTTTCATAGCATATTGATATTATATAACCGTTTGAATGAGAAAAAAAAATATACAAAAATCAAATTATAATTAAATAATTTTGTAATTTTTACAAATTAAAAGGATAAAATTTGTAAATATAAAACAAATCACTTTGAAATTGTAAAGTGGATGTGACCTTTTGCAATTATGATGAAATTGTCACCGACGACGGAATAGACTCATAGACTAGAATTAGAAGTATAGGTAGAATCCCCGTTTGGCTACCATTCTTTAGGTAGAGAAGGTGGGAAAACAAATTCAAAACATAAAAAACCATCCAAAAAACTCAACTTGATATGTAAAATAAGATGAAACGAAGACAAACTCAATTATATTTGCAAATGCAACAAAGGCAAACTCAATGAAATATGTTTCAAACTCAAATCGAAGAACAACCGTTGGCCTCAAGAACATCCATAATGGTAAGTTCAATGAGAGAGTTGAGTGAGGTGACAACTCTAAGTGTTCTTCAATGGATGAACATCCACCATTGTGAAATGTCATCTTGATATTCAATGGATTTGAAGATCAATGATCATTTAAGTCTTCAATGAAAAAAATGAAAGTTTTTAATTCTTAAATATATACTATAAAGTATCTTTTGTAATGTTCTATTAAATTTGGTAGAGTTTAATGCATTGCAGGACAAAAAATAATATAGCTATATGGATTGTAAAAATATGATATTACAATCTATTAAACTTTTTGAAGTTCAATGCATTGTGGATGTCCTAATTATACAATTCATCATACCCGTTAATCAATTGAATAATTCTTATTTTTATGTTTTCAAATACTTAATTAAGCATTTGTAATTGTATTGACATTTTTAAAGTATCAACAATTTTTATTGTAATGTTTATTAGTTTTATAGTTAGATATGAATATTTTTATAAGTTTATTTATTTTTTCCTTATATTTAGACAGAAAAAATCACAATTTTTTGTTTTATTTAAATTTTATTGTTTTTCAAATAATAAATCATTTGTGTGACACATCTGTGATGAAAGTATTCAGTAAAATTGAAAAATGTATTGAAGATTTGTAAAATAATATCAAATCTGGTCGATCTAATAGCATCCACAATAATGAGTTCAATGGGAAAGTTGAATAAGGTGACAAGTCCATGTGTCATTCAATGGATGAAACTCAACCATTGTGAGATGCCACCTTGGCATTCAATGGATTTGGAGTTCAGTGGTCATTGAACTCTTCTATGGGAAAAATGAAAGTTTTAATCCTTAAATATTTACTGTAAATTATATTTTGTAGCATTCTATTGAACTTTGTGGAGTTAAATGTATTGTAGCGAAAACAATAATAGAGTTGTATGAATTTTAGAATGATGATGTGACAATCCATTAAATTTTATGGAGTTCAATACATTGTTGATGTCCTAAACTCCGTCAGAATACCATCAAGAAAAAGTCAAACCATGTCAAATATGATCTTTCATAATTTCATCTATAAGGCTAAGAGGAGTGGATGTCAAAAGCACACAATATTTGCTTGACATGCCATACAAACACCAGACTCAAATGACATGTTGGTGTTGATGCGAGAATACCATCTAAAAAAAGGCAAACCATGTCAAATATAGTCTTCCATAATTTCATCTATAAGGCTAAGAGGAGTGGGTATAAAAAAATACAATATTTGTTTGACATACTATACAAATACGAGACTCAAATGACATGTTAGTGCTGAAGAGAGAGAGAGAGAGAGAGAGAGAGAGAGAGAGAGAGAGAGAGAGAGAGAGAGAGAGAGAGAGAGAGAGAGAGAGAGAGAGAGAGAGAGAGAGAGATTATTATTATTATTATTATTATTATTATTATTATTATTTGACCACATTGACCAACCATTTGTGTGGCAAAAATGACAAATATTTTGTGGTTTTTGACGTGACACTATTACATGACATGTTCTACTCCCTCAGGCCTATAGATCAAAACAAGTTAAACCATGGTTGTTGAAAATACATCTAAAAAAGTCGAAGATTGTCAAACCATATATGCTCGAATGGAAATCTATCTGCCATCAGTACTACTTACCATCGATTAACAAACCAATCATTTTGTCTAACATACCAAATTATATATAGTATTTAATTATGGTACAAAATACATGGGATTTGGAAGTTTAAATGTTCTATTGCCAACAAATTCTCCATGAAGATCACTCCACTGGTCACCTACATTTCCCCAAATCCTGTACCCTTCTTCCACCAGTTTCCTTCTCATTTCTGATTTGTAAACCACACCACTTTGCCCTTTGTATGCTTCACTCCTGAAGATATATATTAGTTTCAAATTATGAAAGTGGGCACTTCTTTATTTCAAGCAAGTCGACGATATTATTTATTTTATAAAGATAAATGTTATAAACCTAAACAAACTATGCAACAAAACTAGATATATATTTGAAAGAATTTCGTCATGAATCCACTTCGTAAAATATCCAGTCATTGTGTTAAAAGTGATCATATTTTAGAAACTAACTTAAAATGATGGTCATAATCATAAAAGTAATATAAAATATGTTAATTAAAAATCGATCAGCACCGACGTGATTATTTCTGGATGCCATGACTAGTTAAAACGCTATTTTTTATTTTTTGTTTTTTGTTTTCTGAATGATCTCGATACACAAAAAGATTTATAAAGGTGCAGTGACTTGGACTAAAAAAACATTATCCAAGTTCCTCACCCTTAATAGTTAATATATTACCTCAAAATGAGGCGTTGAAAGCCAAAAAATCCTTGAAGATGCAAATTCTGAACAGTGACTTGCCGAAAGGCCGTTTCATCTCTGCCGCTGATCAAGAACACCTTAAAACCACTCTCCACCAGATTCCTAAACAATCCTAGAATCGCTGGAATCCCAGGGCAGATTCCTATCGATGCCCATTCCTTGAATGCATGTGGGTCGTATGGATCTCCTCTACATCCATATAATAAAACATATCATATATAGCTAAAACCAATATTCATGATCGATATATATGCTATACATACATGATGTAACTTGTAAGTATATGTATATATCAGAAACAGTTTGCATGAACACATAAGAACGACGTAAACTTACCCAAACCGCTTCCCTTCATAATAATAGAGATTTGAAAGACAAGTTTCATCGACATCCAAGATCCATGCATCCATTCCATCGTCAGATAAAACAAGCTGATCGAGATAATTCCTTATTTCATCTGCAATCAATTCCACATCAGAATCATATTGCCCTCGAATCATGTATGCCTCAACATGCCGGAGACATTGAATGGGGACAGTACGCCACCCATGTAAGTTGTTTGTCTCGGTGGCCAACCTCCAACTCAAACAGTAGCTTGATGACAGCTCCACCAGTTGGCCACCACCACTGTGTCGAGACAAGTGATCATTGGATAACTTTCTGCTCAAAACCATATTTGACATCACAAATAAAAGGAAAAACATAAGCGTTTTCATCGCGTTTCCTGCACATGTACATATTCATTAAAAACTGTGAATAACTAAACTTTGAAAACATGTTAATTTAAGTTATAAAATAGAGGTCGAGAGAAAGAACCTAAAGTTGAAATGATATAAGGGGGTGTTGATTTCTTTGTCACAAGTATAATATGCTTATATAGTATTCAAAAAGGGACTTATGGATGACATAAGAATTTTTCGTCAACAATCAACTAAATATTGTATAAAATAATGATAGTATCATATTTGTAAAATTATGTATAATATACATTCTTATGAAACTCCAACTAAATTTTTTTATATGAAATTCTAATAATAGTTCAAACATTTAATCAATTTATGTATGTTGCAAATAGAAAGTGCGAGGTTGGAAACAACTAGAAAATGGGAAGGGAGTCAGAAGGCATTAAGAAAACAAAGTGGGCGTAACACAGTAGACGACACCTTGGATTTTTTTCGTCGGTAATTCAAAACGTCCGACCAAACACTAATGCATTGTTTAGAACAATGACATCAATATTTTTAAACCGAAAGAGTAGGGATTGGTTTTTATTAGGTACACTTTATAATGGTGTCACAGTCACATTCTTTTGGAATGAAATTTTTATCTAAAACCAAGCTTCACAAAGTTTGATGGTTAGAAATGGTTGTAACCACTAACCCTACTATAAAGTTCATAAAGAATATGTATTTTATAATTTGATTATACTTTTTAATGGATATAAATTTAATTAATGTATAATAGATTTTTTAAATACTTCACTTAATTTAAAGAAAAGGCAGAGGTTAACTATGACATCATTTATTTCCTAAATAAAGCTTTATAATTTGGTGAAGCAACTTTTTTTTTTTTCTAACAAATTTTATTTTCATTGGTTGAAATGATACACATTCAATCACAATAAAATGATAAAAGTATTTGATTGGTGACCACCAAAACACCAACTGTTGGCAAACTTGAATGCATATCCTATATCCAATAAGAAATAGAAAAAATGACACATACACCCTATGAAGTTTCTAGGGTTTATTAATTACTTAAGTTTTTTCGTAGCTTTATGAGGAAACCAAGTTGTAGTCAATCTGTTCTTTTAATCATTTTTACTTGTTTTAGCCGGTTTTGAGGATACATAGGCAAAACTTGGGGCCCACCCACCCACCTCTCTCTCTCTCTCTCTCTCTCTCTCTCTTATTTGTCACACAGGATAAGGTTTCCCCAATTCCTTCCATTTCTTCAACCTTCCACCATGCTCTCTTTAGCTTTGAATTCTCCCAAACCTACCCCCACTTTCCTCCATTCACCATTCCTCTCCTCCCAGTTTCCTCTCACTTCCCACCACATACCCAATAAACCCTTCTGAAAACCCATCTCAGCCACGCTTATCCCTGCCTCTAAGCCACCGTCTCAAAAACTCTACCAACCCATTCGCCCACCGACATCGTAATCTCCAATACCACCCCAATATCGTAACCTCGACACAGAAGCCCGCATCAATGTTCTTTCGAATCGTCTTGGCCCGTGGTTTGAATACGTCCCTTTCATTCCTCCATTGATTCTGGAAGGATTTGCCCCATCCACCCTCGAAGAAGTCACTAGCATCAGTGGTGTTGAGCATAATCGACTTGTTGTAGATGCTCAGGTTTGGGAGTCGTTGGTTCAATCTGGTGTTGATGAAGAACTTGTTAGGGCAATCAAGGATTTCATTGTAATCAGGTAAGCCTAGCACTAGGACCTCAACGATGACAGATGTAGAACGAGAACTTAGCGGAGAGACTGCTCCCCACACCCATCGATGGAGTTTGAGAGACCAATCCAGAAATTAGATTTGATCCGGGTTTGAGTTCCTTCCGGGTCTTGTTTATGTATTTGTGAGATGTTCTTCATTGATAATGATTGTATGTGGGTTTTTTTGTTTGAAATTTCTCACATGGGTCACCGAGAAGACGAATCAGATGTGGAAGGGAGCTAATTTTTAGTCGAAGATGACAGAAAGACGACGGGAAACACCACAACCTGGATCGATCACATGAGTTGGGGCGTGTCGGGTCGATGAATAAAAAAAGGGAGGGAAAAGACTATGGAAGGGACTTGTAGGTGTGTATGTGTATGTGTTTGTTATGGGAGAGAGAGAGAGAGAGAGAGAGAGAGAGAGACCTTTTAATTTTTTTAAGTGAGCTAGCACAAGGGGTAACGAGGTTACCCCTTCATTTTCTCAAAAAGGACATATTGGACCCGACAAAAGCAAATGTGTTCCCTTAAAAAGTTAAGTGATTAAAAGAGTAAACCTTAGAAACTTCATAGGGTGTATGTATCATTTTCCCTTGAGAAATTAATGCGAAGAAAACTTAAAAGCGACACTATCCAAGACTCGATATGAATTAGCCTTCTCTACGTTCATTGATTGGTTTAAAATGAAAGATATACCACCAACAATGAAGTTGGGTGTGCATCAATTATAGAGACAATCACTTGATCCTTGACGACAGTTTACAAAGCTAAATACGTTATCACATACTACTATGACCCAATATACAAAAACCACAATAATTTGTTTAATTTTTGAAAAAACTATGATAGTCACATTTAATAAATCAATCAAATTTAACTATTTAAGATATTTTGCAAATTAACCGCGTTGACATCTTTATTTAAGGGTTCACACCATATTTTGCTTTGGTGGACATTTTTTAAGAGTGTTGGCATACGATATGTCATTTCGGTGAAAACCGTATATAAGCCAACTAGGTTATAACTCGTGTAAAACACGGTGGTTGAAAATTTAAAATAACAAAAATAAAAAGTAACAATTAATAAGAAAATTAAAGAACAATTATTTATATAACACATTGAAACAATATATTATTAAATATTTTATGTTTGTTTAAAAATAATTTATAAATTAATTATAAATAATAAGAACATAGCATTTATTACATTTTTGTGATAGTTAATAAATAAATAAATAATGATGGCATACCATCACCTATAAAATTTGATATATTGAAAATAACAATGAAATTAATTTTTTTAAAGTAAGAACTTTTTTTAAAACTAAAAAATAACTTAATGTAACGTGCGTATATAAAAACCATTTTTAATAATCACTATTCTATAAATTATTTAACAAAACAATATCTTTTATAAAACAATATTTTTTTTCCAAATATAATGAAATATAATTCAATAAATTATGAGATTTAAATATAATTCAACTTTTTCAAGCATCTAATGAAACCGTGGGGGTATAGACATCAATTCATATGGAAAAAAATATGTAGCTTACAGTACAATCAAAGGCAATTTGTGCCGACATAATAGCATAATTTTGTTTTCTATCTAATATCCCAAAACAATTGAGTGACAGATATTTGGCAAGCCAAAATGATGTTTGAGATGCAGAATTTTCACTCACCCTTACTCCACAAGGCTGTATTATATTTGGCAAGTGCTTAAAAAGTAGTTGTAGAGCTAGTACAATGATGGCTTCAAACCAGTTGTTCATATCAGTGCCAAAACATGATGAAATCCCAGTAATATACATATTGTTTCTCACATTGCCATTCACTATGGTTAGCTAAAAACCAAAAGTAGAAGGTATTGACACTTCACCATATATGACTTTTTCATCCTTCCAATAATTAACGTTGGTTTTTATTCACCTCCTCCACCTAATCAACACAAAAGCAAATCATCATAAACATATTTATATCTTGAGTTAGACCTCTCGTCGAACAGTTGGAAGACATTTACTAAAACTCTAGTAACTTTATGGACTGAAATGAAAGAGAAAAAAAAAGTATGTTAGTGCTAAATCAATCCATTGAATGTTCTTATTTCATTTCAAAATATGAGTGTTAATTAGACCATTGTCTACAATCAAAAAATTGCAATACAAATGATAATTACATTTCAAAGCCTTCAAAATTTAAAGATTCAAACATTAAAACCTACTCAAAAAAGAGCTCTACACAACCAAGAACACAAATCACTCTCACCGCCTGATTTACATAGTTTTCTGATTATACAATTTGGTTTAGTTATTTTATCAAACAGGTGGTGTGCGAAAAGAGTTACTGATTCAAGACACCAAAAAACATATGGATAAACATATAAAGACGTACTCTTTCCATCAGAAGACTCCATTTGATCTCCATACCCTTCATATATCTGATTTTTAAATATGAAATTGAAATAAATTTCACTGGCAGTAATCTAAAACATGTATTTGGAAAAGAAAAAAGAAAATCCCACGGCTGAATATGAGCAGTCATAATAAGAAAGCAGAGAGGGGCATTAAGGGGGGAAAATAAGGTTTGTGGATGAGGTCGAGTAGTAACCTCAACTAAGTAATGGGGACCAATAATTCTAGTGGATTTGGTGAGTTGCAGATGATGGGAAGAAGGAATGGAAATTAGAAGCTGAAGATAGGAGCTTTAGTTGAGATAAGATCCAATTTAAATTTGGAGAAGATTTCCTAATTTCTTGTTGTAGCGATTGATATGCATTCCAAAAGTATAAACGAAAATATGGTAACCGAATACCTAATTAGTAGGAGATGATCATGATGCTGATCTTGATTCTTCAAAGAAGCAGTGGGCGGGAAAAAAAATTAGAGGATAGCCGAAGATATGACACGTGGAATGTAGGGTTTTATAGAAATGACATGTGGTACCTTAAAAGAGGCTTTTATTAGGTAGAAAGATGTAATTTTTTGTAAGGCGCTCTCAGCAACCCATAAGTTATTTGAATCAATTAAATATTTTTCCAATCTTTAGTCGGTTGTTGGTGAGGAAAAACCGATATAACAATATCGTTCGTACTAGCAATATCGTTCGGTACGAATAACCATTTTTTAAATTAAGTGTTTTATTTATTTATTTATTTTTTATTTTTTAAATGATGGTTACACTTCTGCCAAACAACACTTTTTTTTTATGTTATTAGAGTGGAAAAATGGTGCAAAGACTATTTATATATACAACTCTTACCTATCACCCATATATCATAACTCTTTATAAATACAACTAATTGTAACTTAACATCCACCTAGCAGACTATTTATGAATGCAATTAACTCTTATCTAACACCTTACAAACCACAATATAACGAGGTGAACACCGTATTCACACCAAAGCTAATTAACTTAAAATTAATTTTTTCTATGACTAAAAAATATCTTCCGTTTCATTTAAAATCGTCAATAGATTTAAATGCCTTTCAATATCCACCAACTAGTTCTACTAGTTTAACCTTTGGACGGTGCCTAATGTGATGTTTGAGGATGTACCAGCCAAAGAAGCGAAGGTCACTTGACTCATAGCACAAAAGAAAGTATATTCCAGAAATGTTACGTCTAAAATTCTAGAATGTATATATTTTTTAAAATAGAATAAACACTCATTTTATAAAGTTGCATTCAAGTCAAATCAATTGTTCAGAAACCATAATTCAAAATTAGAGTTATAAGGAAGACAGTGCGTAATCCCGAATCATAAATTTGTTGATGTGTGTACAATCCCACCTTCGTAATCCGATAAGCACCTAATCTTTTTTTAATCCACAACGGTAAGTACAGAGCTTAGTGAGTTCCTAAAAATATTAGATACAACATAACATAGATAAACACCTATGAGTTATCAACAACCATGGGGGACTATCAGTAGTCCCAATGGGTTAACATCACGCCATATGAGTTATTAGCAACTCTGGGGGACCAACATTAATCCCAATGGTCTAACAGCACACCATGTGGGTTATCAGCAACCTAACGGACTATCAATAGTCATGGATTTATCAGCAACTCAGATGTACATATAACAATAATAAGCAAATAAGACTCAGCTAGTCGAGCATGTACCCTAAAATGACATAGGTAATATAGTGAGACGACTCACCTTGCAGATAATGGCTAAACAAAACAACTCACCCACAATACAGACCGATACTACGAGACACCTAACAACATAAGGAAGTACCCTCCCAGTCTACACCCTAAAACCCTAAAATTGACCATAAGTCAACCATGGTCAAAAGACAACGATCAAAGTCAACCCCACTCGACAGCCACGTCGTGGTAGCTTCTCGACAAAATAGTCAGACAACCACTAGTTGCTACGTCGTGGCAAGCAGATTGCCATGTCGTGGAAACTCGGTTTTCACAACCTAAAGGATTAAGATCTTAATCCATTAAGCCACTCATTCATACACTCCAGAATGCTTCCTAATGTCTAATATAACATAAAGATCGATGCTTTTCAGTAATGCAAGTCTACCACTCAAACTAGGTAAAAAATGGAGAAATAAAACCAAATCTCATGCATGAAGCTCAAAACACCAACAAACTTTAAATCTGGAACATGTGTCTACCAAGGGACCTCAATGATCCATAAAGTTGCTAACTTTATGGAATCAATGCATTCAACCAAACCCAAACATGGAGAAAAGTGGGTAGAAACCTAGATCTAGCATGATATAATGAGAAATGTATGATCTTGAGGACTTAAAAAAGTCAAAAAAATAGCACACGATGGTGAAGATCTTTGCTAGCTGAAAAGTAGGTAGAAACCTAGATCTAGCATGATATTAGGGTGAAGTACTC